TTTTTTTTTTTGCGAAGTAACAACCCTCATCGACCGTGATAAAAGTATTCAATTTGATTAAATAAGTATGCATAATAAAGAGAGAGAGAGAGAGAGAGAGAGAGAGAGAGAGAGAGAGAGAAAGAGAGAGAGAGAGAGAGAGAGAGAAAGAGAGAGTAGAACAAACCTCCTTATGTTGACCGACTTGTCGAACAAATTAAATCAAATCAAATGTGTATCGGTACGTGAACCAATAATTCGGCGCGGCTCGAAAATACCGCCGCGCACATCTCGCACGTATATTCCACAGCATCTGGTATTATTGTCTCCGGGACATCATCTACCGGTGTAATAACACTATGAACAGCCAGCATCCGCTGTGGTGCCGATTCCACCTTCACACTGAGTTTAACATCTCCCCGGTGGTTGCCAATCTCTTCCCCGGTGTCAGGCAAAATGCTCTCCTCTTCCTCCTCCTCCTCCTCATCATCATCATCGTCATCATCATCATCGTCATCATCGTCATCATCGTCATCCTCGTCTTCCTCTTGACCTTGATCCACAGCAGTCACGACGCTCGCTTCGAAAGCTACCTCCAAGTTACTGCCATCCATTGCATGCTCCATCAGTTGTGTAGCAGGATCATCGTTGTTTTCCATTATATTGTTGTTGTTTCGTAACTGATGCTCTTGTTGCTGTTCTTCTATACCCGATTCGGACGTATCCGAACGTTCTTGTTTCACTACATGTTTTTGTCTTTTAGTTTTCTTCAGGGTGGTTGACTTCTTCTTGGCTAGCGATTCACTCTTGACAAGAGCAAGTATATTACCGTTATTATTTCTATGACTATCGTGACTTGTTGTTGTGGACGTTACTACTTTTTGCAGTGTTGCGCCTGATTCGATTTTGACGTTCGCTAGCATTTGCGATTGTTGCTGCTGCGTTGAAGGGAGAACGTCTACTACCACGTCTTCCTTTACTTTATTACTCGAAAATGTCGCTGGCGAGAGCTGCTGCTGCTGTTTGCCCTCAATGTGATAACTAACATTTTTAGTGCGTGGCCGATTCCGCTCACCACCCGGAAAGATGCCCGACTTGTGTTCATTTGGCATAACCTTTGGCGTTCGCGTCACCATTGTTTTTGTCTTCTGTCCCTTTTTCACACCGTCGCTACCCACCACTACCGGCACTCGTGTCTTCTGTGTGTGGATCATTTTCGGTCGGCTGGACGACTGATTCGATGCCTGCATCTCACTTTTCTTCTCCTCTTTACGAAGCTTCTTCTTTGAAAGCTTCGACTTTGACATATTCAATTTAGAGTTACTCACGATTGAGTTTATATTCTGTAGCGAACTTTCAAAGCTTTTTAACACATTTTGATAGCCTTCCTCAACATTCGACAATCTATGTTGCTTGTTTTTACGACCGCCGTGTTTCCGTTTTGTATTTTCCTCAGAATCGGAACCACCAGCACCGCCGCCGCTACCGCCATCGCCGTCACCACCGCCGCCGCCATCGTCACCGCCGCCGCCGCCGTCAACACCACCAATGTTAATGCCAACACTAAAGCCAACATTGGCAACGTTGCCATCGCCACCGCCGCCGCCGCCACCATCATCGCCTTCTATCATATCATACAACTCATTTCTACGCAATATCGTGTTGGTCTCATGAGGTTTCAGTTTGCGTCTCCTTTTGTACTTGCGTGGTCCGGTTTGCGGCTGACGTCTTAACGCAGTATTGTCATCGCAATGCTGCACAATATGAGCCACAATTTCCTCGGACGTGCTGTATGTTTCACCGCATACTTTACATAAAAAAGGCGTCGTACTGCCCACGCATTTAGGATCTGGTCCGGAATGATGGGCGCGCACGTGTTCTCTAAGAACAACCTGTAAAATAAATCAAGTGAAGATATTGTGATTATTCTTCTTTCCAGAAATGGAAAGATAACAAATTGAGAATTTTTTGGATTATTCATAAAAACACGACAACACCACGGTTTGAACTATCTATCTATCTCTCAGGTATAATACACTATTGCAAATAAATAAAGAACATTGCCCATTTTTGGGCGAATAGGAGTAATTGGGGAGATCACTCACTCACTCACTCAATTAACATTGTAGGGTATTGATAAAAGAGAATGAGAGAAGCTCCAATGTAGAGAGGGGAAGATATACGGCAAATATATTATGTTGAGGAAAAATCAGCTGCTATTAATAATATCCGAGTTTATCCCGGGTAGAAAATATTAGCAAAAAATGTTACTTATTGTTTTTCGTGTGTGAAAAGTCTTTGTTTAAAAAAAATATACGACTGCGTAATGTCCACGCACCATTATTTTTTTTAGCAAGGAGCTACTAGTAGTAGCGACACGAACACCACGCTTGACTTGGTACGTCACGTTTATCACTATTTATCTCAGATCTGCGAATAAAAAGAACCGCGATCGGACTGTTCAAGTTGCTGAAGATATCCAAGTTAATATATTCAAAGTGTGGAAACTCAGTCATCTCCACGAGCAAAAAGCAAATTGTAAATAGCAATTGTAAATTGCAAATAGCATATTCTGTATATAAAGAAAATATATTTTTGGTTGCCTGGATAGATATGTCGCGAGTGAGATGAAGTTCAAATTGCGATTAACTTTCGTTTTTATATTTCTGTCAACTCTAGAGTATGCTCCATTACCATAATGAGTCGCAGTGGATGGAACTTTCGCAAACAACGGTTTCGAGTGTATTCACGGCGGAGCCTTAAGTGAGAGATATAACAGAGTCCAGTTGAGGAGGAGTCACGTGTGACTTTTTTGCATGCTCCGACGAAGAACCATATTATATAAAGAAGCGAATAAACGACTTTTCAGTAGTATCACAATAACTTCGGCGGCCCTTTTAATGACTACGATTGTATTCATTCATTTCTTATTCGCCCGACACTCCTCTATTGATCAGTAACAGTGGCTCTCATGATGAGCTATTCGCTCATGGCCTAAAACCGATGTATAAAACTGAGCAATGTTCTTTAGAAAATATTAACAAATTACAACTTTTATATTATTTCACAATTCTTTACATGCACACGGATATACACACAATCATGCATGTCGTAATTCACAAGTTGTACCGTATGCTATATTCTGGCTAAAATCTTGCTTTCTACCACAAAGTACTTCTAAATCACTTCTAAGTCTAAACATCATGTCACTAATTTAAAAGAAAGGTTTGATAAAATTACTTTTTTTTTTTTAGTGAAACGTGCATTTGCATTTTCATGTAACGTTAAAACGATAAACTCACTCTCTGATTAAAAGCTCGAGGACAAATGGCGCAACCGTAAGGTTTCTCGCCAGTGTGAATGCGTTCGTGTTTCCTCAAGGTACCACCATCGGCGAATGCTTTCCAACAGAACCGACAACCGTACGGTCTTTCGCCTGTGTGGATACGTATGTGAATCTGTTGCGAGCTACGGCTGCCGAAAGTTTTGCCACACTCGCGGCAGGGGAACGAACGACCGCCCAGATCTTTATTATGCGAATGTCGATGGCTCACGAGAGCTCGTCCGTCAGGAAACTCCTCACCGCACTCGTCGCAAGCTACCATTTTATTACGGTGTGATACCATATGCCTGTAAAAAGCCATAACTTGAATTAAAAATTCAAACAAAAATCTGCACAAAGGAAATTATAGGAGAAAAAAAAAATATGAATTGAACACGTACAGCAACAAGACATATTTTCCACGTAACATTTTTAACCACATTATTATATAAATGCACGATGATGGAGTGTGTGTGCGTATATGCAGGCGCGCATGTGTGTGAAAACATTCGGTTTCACAATACAATTCGATCGTTTTCGACGTAGTTCAGAGTGCGACCGATGTGCGAAATTGTTTTTGAATAATTCCCCAGAGACTACTACTAATATTTAGCGATTATATACGCATTAAAGCAGTGCACTATCAGAGCATTATGAAATTGAGTGAACACATTGAAAATAATTTGACTTGTTTTATTTTTACCTTCGCAGTCTAGCTTTACTATGGAAGCGTTTCCCGCACTTTGTACAACCGAAGGTCTTATCGACATTATGGACCCATGAATGCTTCAGCAAGCTGCGTTTATCCTTGCACGTTTTTCCACAGTGTATACATGTATTCGGTGGCGCATCCTCAGCATGATTTTGCCGTACATGCTCCGCTACTTCGGCATCGTCACGACATCTGGCTCCGCATAGTAAGCAACGACGACTAGGAGATCTTGTTATAAGTAAAATTTCAATAAGTATTAAATTCAGCGTTCGCCGAATTTCAAAGAGAATCAGAGAGAAAGCGGATCCGAGCGATCAACAGTATATTATGTACATTTCTTTATTTCTGCCAATTCTTTCTCATCGCCAATATTATAGATGGAGCAGTGAAATATTTTTGACACAATGATTTGGAAATTACTGTGATCGATATACGGAAACCACGTTGCATAATAAAAGGCAAAGATGTGTGTGTGTGTGTGTGTGTGTGTGTGTGTGTGGTACCTAGCATGAAGTTCTGCGTGTGCTAACAGCGCCAGTGCCTCTTCGAACCATTCGCCACAAACATTACACACGTGATGTTGACTGGATCCCCCCTCCATCGTGTCCATTTCTTGCTTGATATGAATTCTAAATACATAATATCAAACTTTTGAGATAGAGATAATATTTTCACAAACATTTCCGAATTATCAAAAAATAAAAAAAAAAAAAAGGAACAAAAATTGTTCTTTGAATTGAGCATTTTAATACAGACTAATAAACGACGTGTAATATTTTATTAATAATCAATCTAATATTTGCAATATACATATATAGGGTATTGCAAAAACCATAGTAATACTTGTGGTAACTGGTGAAAAAGTTAATGATTATTTTTTTTTAATATTTACTTCACATTAGTAACCTAAAATTACAACATAAGTAAGAATATATCAGAATTCTCTGTGTTTTTCTCTATTTCTTTCCCATTTTTGTGTTTTTACAATACTCGTGTATATATTTTATTTTATTTTATTTATTTTAAATTTGTACACACTGTATGTCACTTTTTTCCAATTTTGCATCATAAATTTGAATCAAGGACAATTAACCAATTTGTACTACAATCAACTTTAAATATATCTAATTTAATCTCTCTCTCTCTCTCTCTCTCTCTCTTTCTTTCTTTCTTACTTTTGATGTCGTTTAAGTAGATCCAGACGATGAAACGGTACAGCGCATGTGTTACAATAAAACTCGCCGAATCTTTCTTCACCCGTGTAAGCGGTGTCATTGTCATATTCCTCCGTATCGGACTGTGTGTGTATAGTGCCACCATGCTTGATACGCACGTGCTCTCGCAGGCTGTTAACATCCCAAAACATTTCGTTACACGAAGTGCATTCAAAAGGACTGTCACCGCCGTGAATACGCGCATGTGAAGCCAATGCTTTTTCCCTCGCAAAGCCAACACCGCAGAATTGGCAGACGTAGGGTTTAGTACGATCAGTGACTGGCCATGATCTTGGAGGCTGCTGCTGCTGCTGCTCACTGGCAACAGTGACAGACATCTCCTCCTCGTGCCACCTTGAACTGGATGATGCGTAATTGCCACTGTGTATGTGTGTGTGTGTGTGTGTGTGAAAAAGATATAAAATACCTCAAACGATAATATAATTTATGTGACACATACTTGCCCATCTCCATCTTGATCCCACTATTACTAGTATTCTCGGTTGTGTTGTGTAGTCGTTTTGGTAGACTAGCTACATTATTGCCTTTTCGCTTGCGTGGCACACTTGATTGTACCTTTTTGCGTCTGCCTTTAACAGTAGTAGTAGCAGTAGTTGCCATATCTTCCTCCTCTGGTGTCTGGTGGAGGGAGTAGTCCTCATCATTCATCTCGTCCTCCAAACCATCTCGCGACGATGGTGCATACGCATGGATTTTCAAGTGATTGTTTAAGTCGCATTTGCGTACATATCGTGCCCCACATAGATTGCAACTATGTGGACGATCTGTTTGATGTGCTACCATGTGGTTCATTAGATTTGCTTTCTTTCGAAATCTACGGCTACAGAAATCACACGGATATGGCCGAATGTTGGTATTAGAGTCCTGATTGATCGGCAATGGTATCTCCATGTCATCATATTCCAGCAAGTTGTCATGTGTTACCTTTGTCTCTGGAATCTCGACTCTTTAAACGTAAATTTATTAATAATAATAACACTAATTTGCAAAATAATTTATTGTATATTTATCAAATTATTCTAAAAGGTAAAATCTCTTTGACACACACAAATATAAACTTATATTTTAACACATTTACTGCATGACGCGAATCCACGCCGTTATATACCTAGCACTGCGTATACTATCAGAGCACTACTTGGAGCAGTACACATTGGTGCATGGATCCGCGTCCACAAAAAAATATTTTGTTTAATTTAGGTAATATAAATAACAAATAAGGTAATATAACAATGACATATATAAATGTTATATATAACGCTGACCAATTATTTATACTTTCAAGAATCTTGTTTTAGTAAGCCATGGTAAACCTAACAAAATTTAGCGAGCAGTGAACGTATTAAAAGAATGAATGAGAGAATCTAAAAGTAGCTTATTCAATATATAGTTATATATATATGTATATATATATATATATATATATATATATATATATACATATATATATATAGTCTTATAAAAAATATACAACAATTAATAACTATTTAATTACCCATCATCTGGACCCTGTCTATCCCAATTATCAGCAATTACTTCTTCCGTGACTTGTATATTCAAATAGTCATGTCCTTGATCTTGTGGTACAATATAGATAGATTCCATATCGTTAGAGTGGGGTACCATTAGTATTTCAGATTCTGTTGTAGGTGCTACATCAGGAACAGACTCGACGGTTTCTTCTACTGCCACTTCCTCGCAAGCACCAATGACCTCTTCTTCCGTAGCGACCAATTGTGCCTGCAGATCGCATATCACTTCCTCGTGGAGTTCTACGTTTCCCACTTCTTCCACCCATTGTAGAGTTAGATCACCACCAACATCCATTTTATTCAGTTTTTATTATTATTTAATTACTGAAATCACTGAAACATAGAGCCAAATAAATACTTCGATTTTATCTATTTAGCTTGCTAGTCTCGCTGTACGAATTATAAAGCGTCATTCTATCTTTATTATTCATTCAATTTATCAAAGATGAAGAATGACGCTTACAGAACTATAAATGTGAATTGGAACGCAGCCTTAAGCTAATAACTGATTTCTTGTAAACTCATTGTGTAGATAAGATATATCATACAAATTTGTTCCTTCCCCCATAAAAGCTCTTTCAACGGACATACACTTTCAATATTCAATATTTATGCATAATTATATATTTTTATCACAAATTATCCGATATTACAAGATTCCGCTAGCAAAAAGACATTAGTCCCAGGTCACAACGGCGCATATAGTTGATTCCCTATAGGATTACATCACAAGCGGTCCCTCACTATGCCGATGAGAAACCACCGAGGTGACGTGCGATTTCCCGGACTCTTTCTTCAGCTCGGCGACAACTCAATTCCTGACTCGTGAACAACACACACACATAGCGACGAATAATACCATTAGACATCTCTCTACCACCCTTCCCCTTCTCATCATATCCATCAATCATAAACGACAAACGATAATCGCGAAATGACGCGATCGTCTCGAAGACGGGCGAGAGATCTCAGCCGTCAGTGTTCGCGCAGTGTTGACACACGGATCTCTCTCTCTTTCTAAGGTTATAATTATATAGGTTATAATATTAGAGGTTATAATGATGAGTGTGTGTGTGTGTGTGTTTTACGTTGTCAGATCAGGACGTGATATTGGCGGGCCCTGTTTCGTCCGAGACAGTCGGAATGTCGGACGGAACATGTAATACCGAACGCGTGGAACGCAATACGATGATGAACGATAAGCAACAATGTACGATAAGGATGACGACGATGTTCAACACGAATGAAATAGCATTAGAAGCCGCTTCAACAACGGATCTCTGTTCTGCCCGTGTGACCGTACAAACGCGGTACAGATGCAACATCACATTACAACTTTAATAATGTGTTGAAATGCCAAATGATGACGGTGACGCAAACACAAATACGATATTGTGCGGCGAACTATCGTCCCAATTTACTTACTGTTACAAGAAAAGACGTCAAACGTAGTCCGTAACCTAACCAAAGAACACTCCGTTACGATTGAGATCAGCGTCGACCTTCGGTTGTTTTCAATATGGTGGGGGGATACGTTTAGAAATAAAACGTGACAAAATGGTGGCGTACGCTCAGACTTGTACGCACGATTATGAGCGCCACCGTGGATTACGTGGAGCGGGATTAGATACAGCGCTACAAGATTTTCAGAGAATTAATGCGCCGACAAATCAATACATCAATGGTCTAGTTTCTAGCGAAGTCTTCACCAAATCCGGTGGTCTTAGTTTTCGGTACGGTACGAATGTAAAGTGGGTGCTTTCCATGGATGAACATGTAATGGCACTCCTGCATACAGATAACGCGCCGGAAGAAGCGACGCGCGCGGTAGCCAATCAACCGCGCCGTTTTCCTGCAAGAACTAAAAGTTTACTGGCTGTCGCTTCACGCCGCGCGGCAAACATTTTCGCGTTCTGGTGTGTGCGCGCAATGGCTCCTGCATATAGGACGCGGCATGTATGCCGCGAAGCAACGGCGGCGGAAGTTCGCCGTAGCAGCCAATAAATTTCTAGCTCTTACACAGCACGTTAATTGGGCCAACTTCCGCCGCGCGGCAAGCATTGTCATGTCCCATGTGCTTAAATATTTGATTCGCGTGATTATGATATGGCGATCCCTTTGTTGACCCTTCAACTCGACAATATCCCGGTATTCGTTTGGTACTTGAATCATTCGTAACTATTTGTATACTTGCAAGTGATATTCAATGAGCGTACAACTATTCCGTAAAAGCAATATTGGATATCACTCGTAAGTTACGAATAGTTACGAATAAACATTGAATTATATAACATACTGGAAGAAGCACGTTACGAATAAACATTGAATTATATAACATACTGGAAGAAGCACTGGCGTAATGAGGGCCGTAAACAGTGAGCCCGTATTAGATTACGGATTGAGATTGAATTTAGCCAATCAGTGTAAAGTTAATTGAACTCAAGTTTAGTGAAATTTAGTGAATTCCACATTGATTGGTCAAATTTCAATTCAATCTCAATCCATAGCCTGATACGAGCTTAAGACAAAGGTCGTGGTAATAGGAATGGGCGAATGATCGAAAAGTCGATCGCACTCATTGAGAATGTCATATTACATCTAGAGAAAATGTTAGGGACTCTAGAAATTCTCTATCCGACAGCCAATCGACGGCACATTCGATAAACTCGTACAACAGATGCGTTCCACTTAACGCTTGCAACGATAGCGTCTTTGTTTAACGTTGAAGAGAAACAAGGTTGGAACAATGCTCGCGATCGCTGCAAGCGTTAAATGCAACGCACCTAAAGCATCCTCAATGAACGCGAACATCAATCGATTTTTCTAAACATCGATAATTTTTCTCATCCCCAATAACAACCGTAATTATTGAACTCTTAAGGTACTTTTTTGTGGCAGCATCAAGCGAGCGTCGGAACCAATCGGCAGCCAATAGATCGTCTCGACGTTTGACTCTTGTCTGCTCGGATTGGCTCCAACGCTCGACGTTACCTATGAAATTGTGTCTTTTGTTTATTTTTTTTTTAGATCTAAAAATATACTCCAATCAAGTGCAAAAGTTCACTAACTATGGTTGTTATTAAACCGAATTAACCGGTTGCCGTGTAAACAGAGGAGAACAACAGGAACATGGCGCAGATTTAATCAGATCATAACGGATAATAGTGGGAATTTCTTCGCATACGTTTGATTTGACGTTCGATATTCTAACATGCTGTAATTCAGAAAAAGGCCGGAAAAGAACGCCGGAGAAATGGTTTCAGCAAAAACTTACAAGATGATACAGGCGGAAACATGCATCACACGAGACAAAATAACTCGATATCGTGGCATTCTGAAGTTATATGGTTAGGTTACAATTGGATACAGCTGCTTTGTTTTTATACGATTAGTTGGGTCTAATCGTATAAAAAAGAAATATCGAAATAAATAATTATTTTAACATGACGCTTTGGTTGTACGAATTATTTTGCATCGCAGCGCGCGATAAAAAGCTGCAGTTGTTACAAGCCACGAAATTGAAATCGACGGTATCGAGGAAGCTCGCGTCCTTGGAAGTGGATGTTAGGAAACATCGCGAGATCGTCGGCAAGGATTTGTCGGAAGGCGGTAAAAAACTGACATACCCAGGCGCCGATTGCGGGAAATTCTGTTTGGCAATTAGTCAACTGCAAGCATCTGTAAGGATAGGATCGACATCTGGGCTGGGTCTCAAAAATGATTCTCGTCATCATCATCGACGAATATATATATCTGCATATTTGAAAACAATTTCCGGAATATAATGAAACGTACGGTGACTATCATCAATTGTCTTGTAGGAAATTTATGCAGCTATATTTCACAACAGCGACATAATGCGTCAACTCTTGAACAAGCTTTATTACGAGAAAAATAAGAAACTGAAACACGCTATTGAATTACAGGTAAAACTTAGAATGCTCTTAATGCTATGTGGCTGTACATGTATGATTTATCGCATCTCTAATATGGATACATACATGAGTATAGCATATATTACGGTTGATACGCTATGATGCGATAATCATCGCGTGCTTTGTATATTTGGCACACGATGTTACATATTCATATTACATTAATTTTATGCAATAAGATTCACTATGCATCCACTTTTTTGTCCACAAGTTGGAATATAGCGATCTTTCGAATGAATGTAAAGAGGAGAACGGTGGTACTCTACAATTACACTGCGAACAGCAACAATTCGTGGCGCAGTTGCAGCGGTCCATCTCGAAATATAATACGGCGAAAGCGATACGTTCCATATACTTATCGATATTGCATATCCTGCAAAAGGTAAAGGTCTCCGAATGATTTGTGATACATCGGGATAATTGTGTAAAATAAACAAATTCTAGTTTTATGCGTGCGTGACATATCATCCTTCATATTGATATACATATGCAAGTGCAATTTGGTTGTAGGATGCAATGTTCTTCGACACCTTGTTGAACATGTTGAAAGAGGACCAGTTTTCCCAATGCAAAGCGATGTTGAGGATGACGGTGATGGGCCAGCTGGCAACAGAGAACTTGGACGACGTTAGACAAAAATATAAACGGATGACTGGCATCATTTTGCGTAATATGAGAATCAGAGAACAGACGTTGAATAGTGTACGCTGTCAAGTACAAGATTTGTGGTCTTGTGCATTGTCCTTGGTGCGCGTTGAAGCAAGTATCTCTCCATTTCTCAGTAATGATGATGATACGATGACTTAAACGAAGACATTTCGTCCGAATTGTAACACGGATATTTACAGAGCGATACTGTTTTTTCAAGAAAAGACATCGCAGACGAGTTATCGTCTGCTGACGAAGTATTGGAAAAACAGTTAATATCTTTGGAAAACATATGCGATCGAATAAAAGAAACTCTACTTGTGCGCTCTTATCACGATTTGTTATCGAGGTATTATTTTCTTCTATAATCTATAATTTTCCACTTCTTTAATGAAACATAGATCACAAATAGTTTTAGAAATTTGGCGTTCGTGTATTCAGTTTCTCAAAAGTTAAAATATTTTCCTACAATATTTTTGTAATATATTCAAAATCAATGCATAACATTCTTTCCTGTAATCTTATAGACTCGAAGATCAATCCAAGCAGAGAACAGATTTGCTAGCAAGATTAAACTTCAATACAAAGAATCGTGACTCATTGTTGAGCAAAACGAATCATGCTGTGCAAGTTCTCGAGGGTCTCATGCATTCTAAAACTGCAGTTGAACAGTAAAAAATAAATAAATAAAGAATAAAAAAATATATACATACACACACACACATATATATATTATAAAATATAACGTTGTCGAGATAGTTACTAATAATCTACTAGTAAATTATTTTTGCAACTTTTCTCTGATATATCCTTAACTTTTCGATATAAATATAATCTTTGTTATTTTATTTTGTCCGAAACTCTACATGAATTTCAAATTTTCAGTTATAAAGCACAGGAATGTGAGATATTGGAGCAAATCGAGATTGAGAAGAAACGCGAAAAAGACCTCAAGGAACTAAAGAAAATTCGCGGTGAACTATTCACGAACATTAGAGCTGCTTTACAAAATATAAACATGATGTTGCTCTGTGTTAGGCAATCCGATACAAAAGATACGACGAAAAAGAAAGACGTGGGCAAAGATGTTATGCTAAAAAAGGAATCCAATTACGACCAAGAAGACACAGAACTTGAACTCGAATCGCTAGCAGAGCTCGAAGAGGTGGATACCGATGGTGAATAACTATATATATATAGTGTGTGTGTGTGTGTGTGTAAAATTATAAATTAGATAATATATAATTTCTTCTTCAAATTCTCGGTAAGGCACGTATCACAAAAAGTCGTCGTTGTTGCGTAATTTTCCTTATTTTACACACAGTTTTGGTGTTGTTGGCGAAGATTACCCGAAAGATAAGTATTTTATATAATATGAGTAATTTCGATCTCAAGAAAGAAAAGGAATATAAAGCACGATATTTCTATCAGACCTATGTGTCGGATTATAATTCTAATTGGATATTGGGAAGCATTGAAGGAAAAGAACTGAGAATTGGTAATTGGAGCATGTTTTTTTTTTTTATATCGCTCTTTTAGATCGTCTAACATATTTTCGTTCATATATATATATATATATATATATATATAGCTAATGTATTTTATCAATAGATTGTGCATAACTCAAAACTTTCTCTTTTTTTTTCTTTTTTCTTTATAGGATTATACGTCGAACATGAAATGATCGACGCTACCGTTCCAACGCGAGATGACGTCAAATTTCGCAGCAGACAGATCATAGAGGCGCACATTTGAAACCAGCGGAATAACTTACGCAAAATTGAAAAGCCTAATAAATGAGGAGCCATGATGATAAAATAGAAACATAATTTAAGATTGTTATTTATTATATTACAATCGTATTGTTCAATTTTTTCTTTCTTTGGATCTAATATTCGTCGAGATCGTTCACGCGACCATGTCCCAGCTTCTTCTTCATTATCTCAAACTTCAACCAGGACGGCTTGTAAGAATGAGTTCTATGAGCCAATGGGAATTGCAGCTTCGGCTCTGGCCCTTTGAACGGATGAACTTCCTTCAATTTTCTCAGCAAAAATTCCTTCATTATTTCCTTGGGATCGCGATATTTGTCCAGGTAGAGATTAAAGGGTTTTTTCAAAGGAAACCATTTTTGTTTCTTGATAAACGGTTGTGGGAAATCGTATTGAAATATCGGCACTTCTATCTTCAACGAGTCGTAATAAAATTCTTTCATCGTGTTGTCCCAGTCCGACTGAAAGAATGCCAATCCAGCAGGTGTCAGTTGATCCTGATATTTCATATAAAATTCCCGCGTTTGCCAGTTACGTTCCTCCAGATTCAAACAGGGTTTGTTTATCTTTTTCTTATATTCCGAGTAATCTAAATAGCATTCTTGTTTGTACAATACAAAGATATATCTGCAGTATCCGATACCGTATGGTGCTATCGGTCTCAGATAATCCATAAACTCCTCTCCTTCGTTCACACGATTCCCTGGAATATTCCCAATGAACCAGTGACAGTATTCTTTCTTCGGGTCGGTAAAATTACCATCTGGTGTGGTCATTAAAAGAGTCCATAACGATCCGTCATCTTCCGTTGTTGCATTGAACGTGACATCGGGTGCTTTGGAAGCTTCTTTCGGTTTGATTATATTGCCAGTACGAACCCTCGTCACTTTGTCATCTTCCAAGTTGTAGCATATGTCTAACGGAACCGTCGGCATGAAGTACGCATCCCTGTAGAGATCTTTGTAAATACCATAGTGTTCCGCTATTCTGTGAATGTGAAACGGTCCGTCGGTCTGCAGCCAGCACTCTCTCGCGTCTTTAAGATCTACCAGCAGCTCCCTGGTGCGTGAGGCTTTCTCCAGCTCGGGATTGTTCCTACGCGCGGTAATCTCTCTCGCCCAGATTTTCGTCATCGTTCGTCGGGAGATTGTCTTGGTTACCGGATAGCCGATGTTCACATTGAAGTCCAACGTCGGATCCTTCTCACTCTGTTTCAATATCTCGAGACGTTGTTTAAGATTGCGGGCGATCGTCGGTGGTTTTCCCCGCATCTTATGTCCGTATCGCACATGTTGACCTCTCGGAATCGAAAGGAAGTTAACGATTCTTAACAGTTTGATCGACATATTGCGAAACTCTGTCAACTCAGTCTTGTTTTTTCTCAGATCAAAAACGAAACATTCAATGACATGTTTATCGTTTACCAGGTAGGTATGAAGAATGCCAACAAGAGGTTAAGATTCGTTCAGATCAGAGGTTAGTTAGGTTAATATCGTAAAATGTGTGAGTGGGGGAATGTGAGAGTGAGAGGGGGACGNATCAAATCGGTCGATTACATTCAGCTCTTCCGTTAGAACTGTCCAATCGCGTTGGTGAAACTAACCGAGTCATATACGTGAAGGAGTGTTTATCCCACACTACTCCACTGCTCAATTATATGGTTGCAGGTAGCCAAACTGGCAACACCCCATTATAACACACACTGTCTTGTATTTAAAGTATTTAAAAACTTTGATTGGTTACATTGATTAAGCACGTTTATGCACGGCACAACGCGAGCTAATCCAGTTTACAGTAACAACCGTAGTCAGAGTGAACTCTTGAATTTGATTGGTACATCTTTTTGGATCTAAAAATATATACCAATAAAATGCAAGAGTTCACTTTGCCTACGGTAATTACTCAATCGGATTAACACGTTGTGTTGTGTGTAAAGCGGGGCGGCCTACAATGAGAATTTAAGTTCTAAGCCTTAAGAAATTGATCGCTAAAGTCGGTTATTTTTCTTCTCACATTCTCGACTATGATTGGTCAATTCTTAAGGCCTTAAGCACTCATTATAGATCAGGGGACTTATTACGCGAATAGCAAGGTTTTTCTTCTCAGTGAATTTTCAGTGTGACTTTTTCTTTCTGGAATCATTTTTATTTTTCAATATAATCACCCTATACTTCAATCTCACACACTTGGTCCATCCAGCGATGCTGGTCTAGTCCGGTTTTATTTCATCGCGGGACAAAAAGTGCGGTCAAAATGCTCCTAGATTTCTCCAATTTTAATTTAGCATCGTAAAATGTACGTGTGTATATGCGTGTGTGAGAGAGAGAGAGAGAGACATATATATAGGGTGTTTATTCCACTGTTTAATTATATGGTTACAGGTATTCAATTTTAGGTTTTAGCACTTTATCCAATAGGATTTAAATATTCGCCAAATTGATAACAATATTCTCCTTTTTTCCCCTTTTTCTTTTTTAACGAAATATCACTGTACAATGCTCAATTTTCTCCATGTTTACAACAATGCACTGAGGTTTGACTTTGTCAAAACTATAGCTATTTTTACCTAATAACTCGGCAAATTGATTTGATACTTCACAGCTGTTCATAGGGCGAATAGAGCGCCACGATACAAAAAACAGAAACGCGACACTAACTTTTATCGAGTCGCGAGCTTTTCAAATTGTCCAATTGTATTTATTATTATTATAGGTCTCATTTTTTCTCTCTCTCTCTCTCTCTCTCAACCCATAGGATTTCACAGGCTGCGCACGTTTCAATATTATTATAGTTTTTCAGTGCATATATGTACTTCAACCCTCTAGTTCCGAAACATTCGGTCTAAATATATTATGCGTATGATCTATGTACTCCCATATTAAAACAAAAGGCAGCAGTGTCCTTGATGGTAGATTCCGAAACTATATAATGTAATGCTTTTTTTTTTACTTACTATACCAGTAATTTCGCACATATTGACACCACTGGCTTTTCAGGCGATCTATTTTTGGTTGATAGCTCTATAGACACTATATATTAAATTAAGAACTAGCAAAGAGAATAATACAATTTTTAAACCTTTTTCGTTTTTTCGATACAAAGTCGAGGACCGGCAGTCCGAGTTATATTAACATATGTATGTTAATCAATCATGCAAAAGAATTTGATGATTTTATGATTTAGCCAGAAACGAGAATAGAGAGTTAGAATTTGCCTACACAAAAATTCTGGTGAAAAATTCTGGCACTCCGACATCCCCTTATGTCCCGTACGATGTTCGTAGAGATCTCAGACAGCGTTGTTGTTGTTGTTGAATATAAAAATTACTACAAAATAACTGGAAGTTCTAACACTTTTTGCAGCATCTATCAACATAAAATATTAAATCTCGGTCCGAGATCTAACATCGTGGGCACAAATCCTACTAATACCGCATAATCGCGTGCAAATGTTGCAGAGATATCTTTTTCAAAGAAAACAATATATCAAGTATTATTACACAGCCCTACACAGACATTCTGTGAATATCTGAAAGTAAGATATTTTGGACAATTTAAAATTACAGGCATAAGATATGATCTAAAATTTTATATCTCTCTGATGTATATTTTATTAGAGAGTAGCATGCACCACCTATCATGTGTGATCACGGTAAGGGTCCGAATGAGAGAATGCATCTGCACGAGAGAATCTCACGAGAGTCGTCTTCTTCTCAATATTCATGCTCACTAATTGCTACCCGTGTAATGAATATCGAATACATTCCTCCTCCACCTAAGACAAAACCACACACAACGAATATGACGGAATGTCACTGCGGATAGGAACGATCCGTTCACGCGTTTTCTTTTTTCTTATCATACATCCTTGTAAGACCGACAAGGAGGTGGCGGCGCGCTCCAAATGCCGTTTTCTCGACAAGACGGTTTCTTCACTGGTTCCAAAGGAGTCACATAACCAGGTGAACATGTAACCTATCACAGTTTCGAGTATTCAAGTTATTCGAATAATTCAGAATAATCGTATTAAGGATTATGTAATTGCATAATATTGTACCTTTTAATCGTATACAATACTCACTTGAATATTGTCTCCCGGTTTGTACCAAAACTTGAGAGGCGCAATTCGACCGTGAGGAGGATCACCCGGATAAGGACATCTTACTTTACCTAGAATTTTCCCAAAACTAATCAATTTGTAATTTATAATTATTCGATTATTCATCCTCTCTGTCCACTCTACTGATATTAGATACTCTTATGAAGAAGAAATACACGGTTATATAACATCGGAAAAATTGATATCAATGATACAGCGGTATATAGCGATGATACAGCGGTATATAACGGAGATATAAAAGCGCTAAAATCAAGCATACAGAGTTCCAAAGTGCACTATAATGCAACCTGCCTATTTTTTTTTCTCAATACTTCTTCTCGATCTAATCATCCAGTGACTACTACTACTAATTCCCAGTATTCTCTGTTCTATTGGTTTGATAGTAATATATAATTAGATAGAAGAGATTCTATATTCAATTTATTTTTCTGGCCTTTCTGATATCAGCAAGAAAATGTTAAATCGTCGTTTAATCGTCTTTATTCTTTGCGAAATTATAAAGCAAGTAATGCAAAATCTCAGTCGTAATGGCGTACTTACATACTGGCGAGCGATGAGACCAGGTGCCATTCTCGGTGCATATGATAGACGCCTCTCCTATCAATTGATGACCCGGAGAGCAGGCAAATTTCACTAATGCGCCGACTTTGTATATTCGGCTACGATACTGCTTCTTGTTGTTGTTGGAATATCGAGTTTGCTCGATGATACGACCGCTTCGCGGCGTCTCCGGCACGGGACAAGTAATTTCTGTGAACGTTGTCGTTTATATTCGCAATATTAATTTTTCAGCAAGCAGTATGTCGAATGTATGTATATACCCAGCAAACCCAGCAGAATATAACTGTGTTGTATAAAATAGAACACACAATATAACATATTCTGTTCTGATATTTTATTAATAATGGCGTTATATAAATGCATTGTTATTCGTACGAAAACTACTATTAATAATACATGTATGTAACATACTGCTGGTACATGCGTGTTACATTTGTGTTATATTCCGTTTTTATTTATTAGAAGGATGTAACAGTTATATATGTTTGCTGGGTTAGACTTTTTGTAGAATTAAGAAATTCGGCACGGCTTGCACCTAAACAAGTCGGCATAGATCCATTCCATCTTCCGTCACTCTCGCATCTTATACTCTGCGACCCCGAGAGCTTGTGTCCCCACATACAGGTGAAACTAGCTGTTTCACCGAAAGTATTGTTGTGCTCAGTCAGCTGCAGCAAAGCATTATCAGAAATATTCATCGACGGACACTTGATTTTCTTGCAATGCGGCACATTCATTCCACCGGACCACTCGCCTGCAAAGATACCATTTCTTATCATTTAAAAACGACTCATCGCTTTCATCGCGAAAATAAACGAAAAAAAAAAAAAACAAACATTGCTTCGTACCGTTGTACTGACATGTTATACTGGAAGCACCTTCCAGTCTGTATCCCATTGGACATTCGAAAATGGCACTATGTCCCATTCGCCTGCCTTCAATGCGACTTATCAACGGTGACCCTCCCCCCGGGACAGTTAACACTGGACATTGAACATCTACTGAGACAAAATTGAAATTATATAAGACAGTCCGTTCCTTTTTATTATTTTCTTTTATAATTAAATAAGACTGTATAGTATTAACACGATGAAAATTACCAAACAATAATGTTTTCAAAATATTTATCGGCCTTATGCGACTATATGATATATATGATCCATCACACATGATTTTGGCACAAAAGGTTACAAAAGGACTCGGGGTTAAAGGGCGTATTGTTTTAGATGGAATCGGGAGTATGCCGTAGAATCGTAATAATAGACGTAGCTAAGGTGCGCGAAATGTAACAATATTATAATATTAAGGTATGATTGTTACAGTTAAAAAAAAAAATACAGCCATACCTACAACACGGACTCGTATAGAATTGGACAATCCTTTGGGCGTGGTGCACGTGTATACACCGGAATTATGCGGTTTAGCGTAATATATCGACAAACGATACTTCCAGTCTCTCTCTCGAGTAGCTATCGCCCATCCTGAAATGAGTATAAATATATATAAATAAAATAAGAATGATACGTGCGCGCGCTAATAAAAAGATAGTTTAAATAAAACGAAGTTGGACATGTATAGCCTAGAATACATTTTTTTTTCAATTTGGATGCCTCTTTGTTTTTAATATTTCAGTAATTTGTTTTTTCCGCAGCACACCCGTCAGATATCCACGGAAGCTTGAGGTCCACGTCCATTCGGGATTGCCCAGCTTCCTTGCGAAGAGGCACTCCAGATGTAGGATGCTTCCTGGGAATACGGCAAGTGCTCCGTTTGGTTCTACGGCGGCCGAACCGGTAGGTAAGCCAAAAACGATAGTCGGTGGTACGTCTTCTATTCGGATCGAGGGTCAAAATAAGAATAAAATTATATATTTAAGTATCATCCTATTTAATGCAAAAAAATTCAATGAATGTCTAAAGAAGACCGTCGTCCGAATGACGCTCGTGAGGCTACTTGACAACTTATTGGACAACATCATTGGTGTTCTTCTTTTTTTTCTTCTAATATTAACGTTATATATACGAACAATAATATTAGTGATTGATAAAAACATAACAATATAGCGACGCACCGGTGTAATTAGAGATAGCCGTGGTAGGCACGCAATTAGGTAGCTTCCCGTTCCACGTGCCATTGCGGCAGTGTAGCAACGAGTCGCCGATGAACTTATATTTACCCAATTCCCGACATCGCAGCGTAACGCGTTCGTTGTGAAGTACACTAATTTTGTCTACCTAAAAACATATTCGGTTGAAAGATTCGAAGCTTTGTTTCTCAAAGAAAGGTGATTGTTATTTATTAATTTTTTTTTTTTCGAAAGCGACGTTGGCAAAAATTGCAAAGTTTATAATTAACAATTTCGTCGCCGCCGCCGACAATGATGATAATGAAAAGCATTAGAATTTAACTTACAGATATAGTGATCTTTTTATACGTAACGATCATAAGGGGATGAAGGCCTTCCAATTTACATCCTCGCGGTAGCATCTCAGTGGTGGTGATGGTTGCGGTGGTGGTGATACCTGCAGCAAACATACATACGATGAGTAATTGATGAGAGGAGGGGAGGGGAGGGTCTAATTAAATCCGTGCCTTTTAATTCGCGCATGTTCGCATATACGCTTCCGAAGATTGATTGGTTGATTGATGTATTTTACATACCGGCTTGTGTAGATCGATCGCGGGAGCAGATCAGCGCGTGATATTAACGAAACTAAATGCTATTTTACTATTATATTCTGTCCACGCGCTCAATCAAAAAGTAGCACATGCTTGCTTCTGTCTCGAATTCATCTAAGAGATAATCGAAAGATTAACCCTTCGAATAAACGAAAGAGTAGAGATGAGTTATTAGTAACGACAACAACAATAACAACAATAAGAAAATAAGTAAATTAATATTGAGATTCGTCTGGAATTGGAACAAAAGTTGCTTTTAGAAATCTTTTGTGTATATTGAGCAGGAGGGAAGAAATTTAATTCAGGCAACGAGTGCTTTACGTATGATTAATTGATGCCGTTTACGTTTCTCGTCGCGAAATATTCACGCACCGTTTTCTATATATTTCAAGTGACAATCTATCGCCTTAATAAAATCACGATTGTGAGTGAAAAGCGCGATCTGAGGATGCGCGGATATAAGAAATAATATCCTTTCGAACGTTTCGGTAATCTCACTAGAATCGTCGTAAAACTCAAATCAATATATTTAACAAATTTGGTACGTTGGTAAGTATAGTTACGCACGTACCGCGTGTAAGTTGGCTGCGCTCGCACAGGCAGCTATTGACGAACAGAAGCAACGTCGCTATTGCGATATGTGCACACGTTCGCCACGTTCTTCTTCTTCTTCCTGAAGTTCGGAGGCTCGGCATATTGCTTCTCCAGGATGATCGCAGTCGCGTGGATCATGATTAATGATGATGACGGAGAAGGAAGAGGATGCTAACGCAGGTAATAAAGCGAACACATAATCGCACCTTGTCGCTCGATTTATCACGTCCCACGATATCATTCATTATCTCACACTATGAGAACAGCAGAGATACTTTCACGTCGCACGTAAACGTTCTCGAAAGCGATTATTTAGATTTGGAGCTGGCGAAAGCGACGCATTGGCAACAACGTCGATACTAAACATCTATAATCTGCGGAGGTGGTAGTTGAGACTCGCCATCTATTTCGAGGAGTGCGCATGCGGCCACCCTTATTTTCTCCATCCTTTTCCTCCCCTCTCTCTCTCTCTCTCTATTGCTATCACTTAAGTCCCAGAATTTCACTTGGTCCATATGTTAGACTTTTTGCAGCTGTATAGTATGTACTGAGTGACCTGATTTCAAGATATAAAATAATTGACGTCATATTTATATGATACTGTTATTCATACAGTTTATCACACAAATGACTATGTAAATTTCCAAGAAATCGTTAACGAGTATAAATTTGTTGATATATAAAACATAAAAAAAAATTATTGTTTCATTTAATCACGGAGTTATCATTCGCGAGTACCGGTCGATCGGCAACTTTACCTGTGAACTTGGCAAACGTAGCGTCTTTCATCAACTTCAAGTGCGATGCTGTAACATGTAGCAAAGTGGCCCATTGTAAAACAATAATGAATTTGTCGTTTGTATGTAAAATTTTCTCGACCATATAGAAGAGAGCTTTCATCTTTTATATAATTGCTACTTCAGCCAATTCTATCAATTCCTGATGACTAAGTTGTGTAATCTCAGACTTTGCTGTATCAGGATACAATTCTTCTGTAGTATCTTTTATTGCATCTTTTAATTCAGGTTTTTCCGTAATGTTCATATTATATGCTTTACGATGCTTATTTATTTATCTCTGTCTCTCAGACAAAATATTTCAAGTTAACAAAGATATTCACCAACTCTTAATAGGTTATCTTCTGTTAATATACTCACGTATTGCACGTGCCTAGTTTGCAGACAGTTTTGTATCATTCACGATTTTCGCGAAGCGGTTTTAATCTTAGTCAGTTTCCATAACAAATTAGGAAGCTCCAGAAATATCAATATGAGAGAGCGACACTGCCGTTCAATGTTAGAACTTCAATATGTCAGTTTCTGTTGATAAGAGTGGATAACACAATAACAAATGATCCATAGTGGTTAATTTAAGTTTCTGGAGTTCGGTAAGTTACCAAGGTCCATTAGTTTCCGAGAATCGGTAAGTTACCAGGGTCCACAACATTTCAGATGTCGGTAAATTACCAGGATCGCTAAATTGTAAGGGATCGATAATTTACCAGGGTCGAAAAGTTTCCGGGGACGGTAAGTTTTTTTATTCTGCATCGCGGAGGCAAAGTGAGATTCCAGGATTCCAATTTTTGAACAAATTCAACTAAGGATGATACTTCATATTTACCAATAACATATGAACTACTATATTCTCGAAGCAATAGATGTCAATATTTTGATTTGATCCGTGTTTGATTACGAATACCTTGTGTAATCTCAAAAATCTGAAGTAGCTTGGCATCAAGAATTGCAAAAATATTAACTACTGGTACTTAGACAAAATATCAGGAGAGCTTACGGAGTTATTTGATATCTCAGGTTGTGAAAAAATCACTGAGAGAGGATTGGAGGCACTGTATAGAATGTCCAATCAGAAGAAATTGATTGTTAGAAATTGAAACAAATCTTTTGCATCAGAGCTAACTTGTATGATGTTAGAAGATTGTACGTCTGGCTTCATTTGTGAGAATCTGTGGAAATATCAAAAACGTAATGTTAATTGAGAGTCACTTGTGATAAGATAACAATTTGCAGTAAATATTTCACAGAAAGACTCACCTCTATTTATACGCATTATATACTATTTGTATAATTCCAACTATGGTGTAAATCAACTGTCATTATTTGAATATTAAAGTAAATAAAACATTAGGTAGTAAAAAGTAACACAAGTAGGTAGTAAAAGTAAGTTGTTTCAAGATATTAACTTCTTTCCAATTAATTTAACATTCAATGTTTCTTCATAAAATATAATTTAGCTGAATTAATAACACCATGTATCATATCATTTTCATTACTACAATGAAGTTTAATATGTTCTAAAAAAGATGATATTTCATCCAAATGTGCTTGCAATTTATTACCTTCCGGACGTTTTCCCTTACAAAAGATAAACACATGTGTCGCTCCATAGTCTTCTTAAGATCAAGAACTGTCGTATCATGTGGCGGAAGCCATGGTGAAACAAAAATTATATTATTAGGATGATTGATCAATTCAAATAGACAAGTATATTAATGATAAATTATTATAAACATCTCAAACATTAACGCAANTGTTACGGTGCAAATACCAAAAGTTGTTAAATATTAGGGTAAATCTCCACAGCATTGGGTAGGTGTAATACTATCACGCAGTCCGCTCGAGGCATATTTCCACTGTCCTGTAAGCTTTCTGAACACTTTTACGAATACTTTTTCAATACTGATAAATCCAAATCTCGTTGACATGGACGAAATGTAATGTTACTAGTGATAATATAATTTCTCCGTTATGACTTTAATACATCATCAATTATTTGTAGACAGTACTTATAGAAAGCAAGCGTTGTCTCTAAAATTGCAACTGAAAGAATTGTTGGCGCATTGTCTGAGCCCTTGACAAGATTACATAAATAATTCATAAGATATTCATACATGAAGAACACATCATGATACAATTCGATGTTTCTGATTGGTCCTTCCTTCTTTCTAGGGATGTTTCAATGGACAATTCGTTATTCACATTAAAGTGAAGTTTTCCGCAAAAGTTAGCCCTCTGTGAAGCATATTTCATCACATTTTATTTCCGCGTAACATATTTGCACCCGCGTTGCTTCGAAATAGCATTGTTTCTAGTACGGAAAGTAACTAAATTCTCGAATAATAACGTTGTTATTTACTTATTGCGAGTTACCAACTTTTTTTTTCACTCACTTATTCAAAATTGAATAAAGAATCGAAATATGTAAACATTATTGTTGTAACTGATTGAGAAGTACATGTAATTTCTAATCGTTTATAATTGCGTGCAGTTCGCGCCTCTGCGCGTCGATGTAAACAAATGAACGTTGTTATTTAGCAATTGCGAGTTACCAACTTTTTCTTTCACTCATTTATTCGAAATTGAATAAGGAATCGAAATATGTAATCATTATTGTCGTAACTGATTGAGAAGTACATGTAATTTCTAATCGTTTATAATCGCGTCAAGTTCGCGCCGCTGCGCCTCGATATAAACAAATGAACGTTGTTATTTACAAATTGCGAGATACCAACTTTTTTTTCACTCCTTTATTCGAAATTGAATAAGGAATCGAAATATGTAAACATTATTGTCGTAACTGATTGAGAAGTACATGTAATTTCTAATCGTTTATAATCGATTTCAGTTCGCGCAGCTGCGCGTCGATGTAAACAAATGATCGTTGTTATTTACCTGTTGCGAGTTACCAACTTTTTTTTTCACTCATTTATTCGAAATTGAATAAGGAATCGAAATATGTAAACATTATTGTCGTAACTGATTGAGAAGTACATATAATTTCTAATCGTTTATAATCGCCTCCAGTTCAGTCATATACGTGGGCCGATCACTAAGCTCGCCAAGCTGACGTACCTCGGTGTGGTAAGCCGTCATTCAAGCATCCCGAAGCCCATCGAGTTTTTCACGACGATCGCTTGTGTTTCACAGTGGATCGGTGAGATCTTCGGCTATCCGGAATTCGGTTCTCGGTCCAACTGGAAGAAATTCGTGTCGAATTTATTCTGCCAGAATGCGGCACCCACGCAATTCATCTGTAGCAATCTTCTGTTCTTGGTAGCGGGATTTAGCCGCGCGGAGTTAAATACGGTGAGATAAAAGGGAGACATATAATACGTTTCCGTATCTATCTTCCACCTTGCATCACTTCCATTTGCATCTTTAATCGACTTTCGTTTCCTTGAATAGGAGAACTTGACGGTAATTATAGGCCACGTGCCCGCTGGTGCCTTCTGGAAACAGCTCGTTCATTATGGGCAAGGATATATTAACGCAGGTAAAGTGGTAATTAATAAACAAGAGGAGTAAATGGCTTTTAAGTCATTTACACGTGTTACTTCTCGAATACAGATTTGCTAAATTAAAAAAATTATTACATATCCGGATGTATAATATCATGTATAACTCATTACATATAATTTATATATAATTATATGTAACTCTCTCTCTCTCTCTCTCTAGATATATATATATATAAGAATTAATTATTACCCAAACCTGCTAAAGTGAGAGATTATGTGAGAATAAAATTCATGGTAACGCTCGTGTTGAAAAAGCTGCAAAATGTTTCAGGACACTTTAGACAATACGATTACGCCGATAACGAGAAAAATTTGCGCAAATATAATTCAAGGATACCTCCAGATTATCAATTGGGAAACATTACAACACCGATCGCTCTCTTCAGCAGCAACAACGATTGGCTGGCAACTACGAAAGTATGTACAAATTATAACAAAACAATTATAACAAAAAGACATATCTTGAAAATTAAATTCCGTCTTCCGTTTTGAGCAAGCGATGTAAGAATTTATCACGCTAATATTCACTTCTAATTATACATTAATTCTCTAATTACAAGAGTGATCAAGCTGTCTTGTTTAAGGATGTGGAACTTCTGGTCGCAAGGCTAAACAGTGTCGTGCTTCATCACAAAATTCCCATGTACACCTTTAATCACTACGACTTCATATGGGGTAAGTCTTCCTTACAGACGGTGTCCCGACCTATCTTGCTGTTGTCCCAATATCAATAGCGGACTCGTTCCTTTGTCTCCGGAGCGCTAACGACAGAGTTACAAAGAGACACAATAAAAACGTATAACGAATCGGTCTAATTTATTGTTATTATTAATGTCATTAATACGTTGCGTTTACATATGTATATATGTATAGTCTGTACTTGTCTAATCCACTTGCCGCGTCCGACGTAGCACTGTCGAAGAAATCCGCATCTAACGCAAAGTATAACTTCGATTAGTGTGTTCCAACATGAAAACCGCTCCCCCTTCCCTCTCTCATTCTCTCTTTCTTTCTCCTTCTCTCACTCTCTCTCTTTCTTTCTCTATATATACATTTATACAAACTCCGTCTTATCGATCACTTCGCGATTGCAATTTCTCGCGCGATGGGCCAGCTTATAATTATAAACTTATACCTCTCCTCTTTCTCCCTAATCGCACTTGAGCAGCGCCCGTAAAAGATCGTCCGTTTGCGAAAACGTCCTGCCGATGAGCCGCGGCACGCTCATCCTGGAAGAAACGGACATTTCACCCCAAAATTGCGGCTGATGCTTGAAGCGATTAATCCCGATTTCTCTCGTGTGCTCCGAATCTTTCACGCGATCCGAGTTATGTGTATAATGTGGTAATCTAAGTTAACTTACACCTTAATCGTTTATGTCTCGTTAAAGTTACCCATGCGGAAGTATGAATGAGCTAGAGCTTTTACGAACAGTTCTACCATCATGTGCGACTTGTGGCTGATTATCGTACGTTGCGTGAAAAGACGTGTGAAAAGACTTCAGATTTTCTTGTGACGCTACGTTTTTTCCAGATGATGTCAACGTGTTATAAAGATAGTGATATAAATATCAAATACAATTTTCTTTCTTAACTTAATCACACTTTGACGCGACTTTTTTTTGTTTTAAAGTTACGCCATTTTTTTTCAGACCGGAGAAAACTGAAAGTGACTCAATCGCACCACAGGACGTCGCACAGATACTCGAAATTGCTCGCCGAGCTGAGACCGCATATAATGTATAATAATGTACATAGTTTTATATCGCATGATATGTATTAGTTTATGTTAGAATAGGTCGGATGGAAATTGCCGGGGAACTTCCCGCGCGATTGATGCAAAAAATTTATGAATCGTCTTCGATCACAGTGAAACTTCATTTGCCGAAACTGAAAATAAATGGAATTTCACCGTGTCCATGCATCGTCTACGCGTTGTGCACCGGTGAAAAATTGCGCACAAACTATATAATCAATATTATTTGAGCTCACGCGTTGGCCACTCGAGGTCACCCGAAATGATCTATCCTCACAGTAAAAACATCTCGATCTTCTCTAATTAGTTTCCATAAAATTCTCGACGATACATAAATCTCTTCGAACAACGAATCTCCATAATATTAGCGTAATTATAAAATATGTGTGTGTGTGTAGATAATATAATCACACTACGTGTCATCTCAATGTTACAACAATCATAATTTCATATTTTTATATTTTAACGAGATAATATATCGCGATAGGAGATCCTGCGAGACTATGTAGCAGCGGATACGATAGAATTAAAGCTAAAGTGTAGTACCTCTTCCACCACCACGCGATCAGGCGCAACTGTCGTATCCCCGAATGAAAATCGTCAGATGTAAATTGTGACAGCAATAAAGCAAAGGAAAAAAGCTTTAATTAAATCTGCGAATGCTTCCTTTTACATTGATTATATATCCCATTTTCCAGATTTTTTTTAAACAGACGTTGGTCTTAAAGCGAAAATTTTTTAAGAAATTCGAAGTGTCAATTCTCAAACGTAAATTCTTGAAGGAAAATGAAAAGCAAAACGTACAACGTTTGGCAATTTTATTTTTAAAAATACGGGAAATACGACTTTGTTCAATAAGGATGCGTTGACTTGAAAAAAAAGTTGCGTGGTCACTTTGAATAACTTTAAGAAAACGTACGAGCTTTAAACAGAACGAAGTCACGTTTGTGGTGGAGCGCGAGGTAACTGACGAATTCCTTTGCACGTAGGGATTACTTTTATTTGTAACACTTCAAGGAACAGAATCACATCTCTTCGTGTCACTGAGATTATCGTTGGCTACTGGTCGTAACCGTTCGCACGATGCAGGATGTATTCGAGAAGCAATAATTCCTGTCGAGAACGCAAGTTAAGTCTTATAAAAATACTATCAACGGCAATATATATATATAATATAACGTATCGATACAATTTTCCAATATGCAATCATTCAGTAATAATATTACGAGGCCATCATTAATAAGTCGGCAACATACGCGTAACATTTTGTCGTCACGGACGAAGAAAGGAGTCCGTACTCGTTAACACTCGCGAAACAAGAGATATTCCATTAATTCCATTAATTCTATCAGACTTTTCTCCTTGAGTTCCTCAGTGAAGACAAATTGTGTGCATCTCATCAATTTATATCTCATTTAGATCATATAACAAATCCTAAAGTATAAGCGTCCCTTTTGCTTTTTTGATATCTTGTACTCTATAACAATTAAAAATGCAACCACTCGTCTCAATTATCTATAAATATTATATATATATATATTTTTAGTCAATAATTGTCTTACTGTAGCGCATGTGTGCATATGCATGCATATGTGTGTGTGTGTGTGTGTATATATCCTTGTCAACGTTGAAATAAAAACAGTCTCTTGCCAATTTACAGACAGAAATAATATGTTAGAAACACAACATTTTCTTCAATGTGAAACTAAGCGCGTTGAAAACGCTGAAGCTGTATTACAATTGCTATTGCAATATATGTGTGTATTGCAGTTAGTGTGAAATACGAAACTCATTAGCATTGTGAAGAAGAAGAAGAATGTGAGCGTGGAAAATTTGTTACATATAAAGAAGACGGATTTATAGGGTCAATTTAAGTTTACATAATCATATGATAGGCTAACCGAGGGAATGATGTATGTGTGTGTGTGTGTTGAAATTATATTGTACTATAAATGTCACTTCTCTATCGGCTTTTACAGTAATTAATATATTACAGATACCTACAATTCCGATATTTCTTTTTATTCTCTTAAACTCTCGTTATACGCCAGGGCTACGCGCGTCATCCGTACTGTGGAATATTTTTTGACACTATATATATATATATATATATATATATATATATGTATGTATGTATATATGTATGTACATGCATAAATATATAATATATACACACATTATGTACACACTCAGAGGGACGTTCCAAAAAAATAACCGGTTGTCGCATTTCGCATGTTTCGTCGAATATGAATGGGTGAGGAGAAAATTATTATATATCAACTCAGATCTCGGACGATAAATTGAGATAAACGAATTTATAAATCGTGCCCTTCTACGAGCACATGAGGAGATTTCACATTTCTTCGATCATTATCTCGGACACGCCCATGGTGTGTACATTCAAATCCGGCAATCGACCCGATAAACGTCAGACGAGAACGAAACGAAGAGCAAGCTTGCGATTCCCGTTGAAAAATGTCCGTGAGAAAATTAAATTATTACATGAAAAAGTACACCTGTGTGTGTGGTGTTCAAAGGCGACGAAAATCTCTGACGTTAATCGGTAACACACTCTTAATGTTCATTTTTAGTCGTGTGACGCGCACGTGTTCGGTCTCTCTCTCTCTCTCTCTCTCTCTCTCTCTTTCTCTCTTATCTACGCGTGTGATCTATAAAAAGATCCCACATATCGGAAAGTATGTAGATGATTGACTCTTATGCTACTTTCCTATGTTTATATTTCATACATTACTCGCTCGCGCGGAGCTCTAATAATTTATATAATTCCCTTACTTTCGGAACATATCTCCAGGATATCCGAATCTCCGAGGATGCAAAATGCAGGCAACGGAAAGTCACGTAATCTTAACGACGTAGAAAATACGAAGTATGCGTTTAAATTAAAAGAACAACTATGATACACGCTCGATCTTTCTTTTTTTTTTTCTTCACGCGCGTCCTCGGTTTTGCTTGCAAATTATCGCAGGGGAGAAACAGATTGTTCGCTCAGATATCCGAGATCGTCGAGAAATCCGCGAGTATAAATCTAACTGTATTTATATTTTTACTGTTGTTATTGTTGTTGTAAATGCATGTGTAACAAAAGCATACGAATACATGGAAAGTTCACGATTGAAAAAACAGGATCTCCGGGCGACGTAACTCTCTCTCTCTCTCTCTCTCTCTCTCTCTCTCTCTTTCTCTCTCTCTCACCTAATAAAAAGAGACTCATTCTAATCCTTGGAAAAAGTACAAAATACAAAGTATGGAATTCCTCCAGCGACTTTGCGTCGCTGTGCATACTGTGTCCGGTCGATCTAGCAGTCTTTGTCGTCACGCGAAATGCCGCGCTCCACTAATTCAATGGAAAGACACAATTCTCGTCCGAAGATACGCAGTGAGCTTAACGCTTCACTCGAGTGTCTGTCCTAAAGTAAGTTCAACCGCGGTATATAGTGCCGAAAATCAACAATACAAAGGGGGGTATGTATATCACTCTCTCCCTTTCTCTCTCTTTCTCTCGATATCGTATCTATAAAATCGTCAGCGCTAAGGATCCCTTTTACTTAGAAACACCTTTTTATTTAGTTACTCGCTCTCTCACATCACTCACATTCTCCTCGTCCTTATATATAAAAAAATAGCGGATCGACAATAGTTGCCGTAGTTCGTATAAAATAACAGCAGCCTTTGCAACAATTAACTTTACGGTGGATAACACGGTAGAGCTCTCAATTGATTCGCTATATTACGATTAGGAATTCGCGCACCGCGCGTTCTCTCGATAGAAGAGAAAAGAGAAACGGAAGAAAGGGGACTCAATTGTTGAATCGTGAAACGACTTCTGTGTGTGTGCGTGTGTGTATGTGTGTGCTCACTCGCGCACCAAGTAAAGACGAGAGGTAAACGAGAAGAAATAGAAATTTTAATGAACGCGGAGTAGAAAAAATTACGTAACGTTCCGCAACGTAATACTCGTATCGTACAATGTGTGTGTGTGTGTGTGTGTGTGTGTGTGTACGACATTAGACACATTAAAACATTGAATGTTGGCACCATATTCTCTAACGTATGATATCTCTTTATTATAACGCAAATCGCGCACGCGTGCAACGCTTTTATAGAGAAACTCTCCTAACGAGACTCGCCATCTGGGCAAAATATCGCGGTGTCGATTGTTGCTTTAAGATAGTGCGAGTATATACTGGAACCAAGTTACCTCTCTTCGTGTATGTGTGTGTGTGTGTGTGTATTCCCAGCATTGAGAGAATGTGAAAAGAACTACAAGATTCGTTACACATATATTTATTCTTCTCTCTTTTTTTCTTTTTTTTCATGCGTGTGATGTAATTTGGTAATCTTTGCCTTCGTCTCGTTAATACTTTTTAATCGTATGTGTATTCCTATACGCTCTAATAAAGCGTTTCCCTCCATTTACGATGGCTCGCCGCGAATCTCGAACTTGGCGGCTTGGATCGATCGGCGACCCCCTCTCGTGAAATCTCACCGATGCGTTATCAGAAAACAGAAGAGACACCGTCCCCGTCGCATTAGTCACCGGAATCGAAAGTTCCGCGTGATATCTCTAAATACGTAGGTACTACGAGAGCGTGTATACTCTCTCGGTCTATTCGTATAATTTCGCCTCTCTGTCATATCTCTGAATCTGAATCTCGAATCGTTCGCTCCATTGTTTGTAAAGACGCTAAAAACGCTTTTATCACCCAGGTATCGGTCTTGTTTACTCTCGTTAATTTTCCATCGCAGGTCAGGTATTATTAATCTAGCTAGAAACACGTCCACGCGGCGCTTAGCTATACACAGCTCTACACAGTTTAACACCTGCGCATCTGTCAACATGTATCGAGATTTGTTGCGATTATATTTTAGAATAAGGTTAGAGCTGATGCTTTACACATTGCACGTCTTATTTATTAGAATTTATATAAATAGTCAAGGAATACTGTGCACAATGATCTATGTAACTTTAACGATAAGAAGATAAACTAGTCTTAGTACTCCAACTGCCAGTTGTTCGTTTGCTCGATATATACTTTGAAAAACTATAAAAATTGTACTAATCGCTAGGAATATCGGTATATCCCCCCCTCTCTCTCTTTCCCTCCCTCCGTCTCGCACATGGACGAGGAATATACACTTTCGATGTAGCTAAATGTGTAAATACGATTCTAAAGCTGCGTTGTGGAGTAAGAAATATTTCAAAATACGTTCTCTACAAGTGAAAAACCACGTTTCCGTAGAAAATTGTTTTTTCTGCACATCTTTGTTGTCCTAAGTGAGTGACAATTTGTCGATAACAAAAGGAAACTTGTAGTTTACTCGCTTGTTACATGTGCTGGTCCTGCGATCTAGAAAATAATTACGATAATAACGGTTAGTCGATTTAATTCGTGATTAGGGATGTTTGTATGAAAGCGACGACTCGTTTACAGTCACTACTCACTAATCATTTGCGCGAGATTCAGCGAAAAAGTTCACGCGTAAAAGCTATCCTTCGTCCCCACAATCTTGCTTTTAAGACATAAGTCAAATTAACCAACCGCAATCGTTTATTAGAATAATTGATCGTAGTTGGCCAATTTGCTTACTGCTCACGTCTTAAAGCAAGATTGTGGAGCAAAGGGCTACTCAACGAAAAGAGGAGAGGATATTATGTCTATGTTTGTGATATCAATTCTTCCGCAATGTACCTAAATCTACAACTCGCAATATTGTGTTTTTAAAATAGCGGTTATAATAGTTAGAACATTTCCGGCTCTTTTATCGAACGTAATCATATAGGAAGAAATAATCAGTCGCATTAATACTTGGAAATGTCGATTCGCTGCGCAAAAATGAGACGAAATTGTACGAAAGTGAAAGGATTGACAGTTGAAAAAGGAAAAAAAAAAGAACGAAGTATTTAATCCAGCGCGTGTACGTCGTTGACTCTCTTCAACGCACGGTGTTGCAAATAAACATATTAATATGAGTAACGTTACAGTACCCCCGCGGTTCTCAACCGCGACGGGAACAAGTTGAAAGGTGAAGATGTACCTGACCACTTCGACTGATCCTTTCACTTTCGTAAAATCCCTTTTTTCATTCATTTTTGCGCAGCGAACCGACATTTCCAAGTATTAACACGACTGATCATTCTTTCCATATGATTACGTTCGATGAAAAAAAGTGCCAGAAATATCCTAACTATATTAGAATCGCCGTTCCAAATACAATATTACAAGTTTTAGATTAGTCACATTGTGGAAGAATCGATACTAGATACAGACGCATATCCTCTCCTCTTTTCGTCGAGTTGGTTTTATTCGTTTTCGCTGGATCTCGCGTAAAACATTAGCGAGCAGTAATTAGAAACGAGACATTGTTTTTATACAGATATTCCTAATCATGAATTAAGTCGACCAGCCGATCACTTTTTATTGGTCACTTTTTAGATCGAAGGTCTAGCACATAATAATAGAAGCGAATTGTAAACTCCAAAAGCATTTCCTTTTGTTATCGAGAAATTATCACACACTTGGGACAGCGAAGAAGCAGTAAAAATAATTTTCCATGGAAACGTGGTTTTTCACTTGAAGGAACGTATTCCGAAATATCATTTACTCCACAACGCAGCTGTGGAATTGTGTATTTACATATTTAGCTACATTCGTAAAACATTGGCGAAGCAGTCAGGTACGTCTTCATCTTTCAGCTCGTTTTCGCTGCGGCTCAGAGCCGCGGGGACGCTGTAACGTTACCCATATTAATTTATGTTTATTTGCAGCACCATGTGTAAAAGAGAAACGGTCAACTTAACGACGTATACGCTGAATTAAATACTTCGTTCTTTATTTTTCCTCTTCCGACTATACGTGACTCGAGGACGTTCATACACACACACGGTCCGACGGTATCGGCAGGTCTCTCGAGTCGTTTCTACAAAAATGTGTATCGCAAGCGATCGAGTCGGGGTGTGATCTCACTTGGGAAAAAGGCAAGCTCGATTCTCCCCGGCTCAATGCAGTGGAAGGCAAAATATCTGCTTCAGGAGGCCTTTCCTCGGATTCTCGTCCTCCATGTCATCGTAATCGTGCTCGTCGTAATTGCTAACGATCGCGTTATTATTGCCTGGGCTGTAAGTTACGTCTGTGATACTCAGAGAACGGGAGCACGCCGGGCTTTCGTATCGGAACGGGAAGGGCGGCGGTAGCCGATGATGCTCATTATAATTATTGTCGTTCTCATTCTCCTCCGAATACGTCATTAGAAACACGTTATTGTGATAACCTTGATTGCTCGAGCCGACCGGTATTAGGGGATCGATACGAAGTTTCGCGAGTCTGTCATGCAACTCGTACATGTATTGCTGCTGCTGTTGGTGCAGCTGCAGCTGCAGCTGGTGATCTTGATTGTGACGCTGCACAATGAGAAGCGGTTCTTGTCACACGCAGTCTTCCAGTGACATCAGTAGAGGATTCACATACTCGAAGCCGTCGAACTCACTCTGATCGATTTTCTCAATTACCCTCCTGAAAGTTTTTGTTTTTCTCATCTGAATATCACGCGGGACATTTACATTCGACGATACAACGTGTCAATGTTCAAAGTATTCCAGAGTTTAAACAAGTATACGTGAGAAACTGCCTTTCTTTCACAGATCTCTCAAAATTTTTCGAAATTAATCGAGCGTTTTATGACCAAGTGAATTTGAAAAGTGACTTACGGATCGTCCGGAGTTAAGTGCACAGGCTCATCCGTAAATTCCGGCGGGAAATTCGCCAGATCACGATCGGAATTCAAGCGTGGCTCGTAAGGCGGCGTAACCTGCTTCTGCTCCAGCTGCGGGGTCCGAGAGAAAGTTGGTCAATAATGTGACAAATTTAGAACATTGTGACTACATCACGACGAGACTTACCATTTCCCAATCAATCGCTTTGAAGAAGGGATGGCTGATAATGTCGTAGAAACCGGTAGGCCTCTTCCCGCAACCTAGCCTTTCCGCGGGATCTTTGCAAAGGAATCCTTTAAGAACGGACGCCGCCTTAACGGACAACGAACGCGGTATACGTATAGTCTTCTCCAAAATAACTTGGAACAAAAAGTCCTCAGTATTTTGATCTGGATTCTCGGATGCACCGGTGATGTCGAAGGGACTGCGACCGGCTAACATCTCATACAACAAGACTCCTAGGGCCCACCAGTCCACGGAGAAGCTGTACTCCTCACCACGAAGTATCTCGGGAGCGATGTAATTGGGAGTACCGCAGAAAGTGCCCGTGTTGTCGCCCTCTCTGATACCCTCCTTGCACATCCCGTAATCCGTGAGCTTAACGTGCCCTTTGTGGTCAAGCAGCACGTTATCCAGTTTCAAATCCCTATAGATGATTCCTGGAAGCGAATTAATTTCATGCTTAAACGCGCGTTTTTTTATCCCAGTATTATGGAATGCAAGTACCAAAAAATTATCTGTGATACTACAAATTATCGGCGTACTTTTGTAAAGGAAAGTCTCTTTTTACCTTTCTCGTGTAAGAAATTCAAGGCAAGACTGATCTCGGCAACATAAAACCGCGCGTGATCCTCGGGAAGACGGCGCTGTCTTTGCATGTGGAACATGAGATCACCGCCACGCACGAATTCGATCACAAAGAACAGACGCGAGGGTGTTTGAAAGCAGGAGTGCAGGCCTACTAGGAAGGGATGATTCGAGGCCGTCTCAAATACATGTTTCTCCGTCTGTACCCAATCGATGTCCTCGTCGTCCGTCACCAGGGCCTTCTTGATCACTTTCATAGCGTAAATCCTCTTAGTGCGTTTGAGCTCTACCATCAAGACTTTCGCGTAGGAACCACGGCCGATCACCTTAATCAGCTCGAAGTCGTTCAACGAGTACTGACGTTGCATGTCGTTGGAGTTATCGCCGTCGTTTAGCGTGTCCAATGACAATTCCTCCCCTTCCTCACTTCCCATCCCTGAGAAACAAAACGAACAGTGAAACATCGTACACGAAAAAGAATATTCAGCTCGTGTAATTGATTTTCTGTTATCCGAGAACTGGATGAAAACCCGGTTGTAGAAACGGAATAATTCATCCTGCAGGAGGTTTCTGTTTCAGTCAATTGTCCACAATTATCCTAACCGAATTTTTATCGCAGTTGAGTGTCCAGACAAATGTTTCCGGTTGCGGCAACAGAGATATCGTTTTTGAGTGATGAATTTCCGCCTGGTTCCCATTTGGTTAAGCAAACTCAGATCTTTTTTCGGTATATTTTTCAAATAAAAAGTTGTCCGAAAATAAATATAATCTATTATCTAACATAAAGTACGGTAGACAATTATAGAAATTGATTATATTTTGACGTGTATGTCCACAGAAACGTCTGATCGCACGCGGTGTCTAATTGAAAACACAATAAATGACATAGTAATATCTGCTTGAGAAATTGCTGTTTGACATACTTTATTGACATATTAGAAAAAAAAATATAATAAAAAAATAATAGCATCTCAAAAATATGCGTAATTATGCGTAAATATGCGTAAAAAATGTATGTATGACGTATGCATAATAAAAATATCAACAAAATCTCGAATTTTTACCACACGTCCGAAAATGGAGACGCATTAGAGATCTGGGGAGGAACATGTGTACGAAAACAGGTATTGAGGTATTCTCTTACGATCGCGCGGATGCTCCTCCATGACCGGCGACTCCGTGATCTCATTCTCGAGATGGGTCGCTGTGACGCACGGAAACGAATCAAGCTGTTGGTCGCCATTCCTGTCGATCGTCTGCGACTCTGCGCTCTGCAACTGCTGCTGCTGCTGCTGCAGGCTCAAGCATGGCTTCCTCACCACCTTGTGACATTTTTTGTGCACGAGTAATTTGCACTGGATGCACTTGAATCCCTGCCGCCCGAGACCCCAGATCCGATCCTGGCAGAAGGCGCAAAAGGCTCTCTGCGAAGCAAGATCGTCGGAGAATATTACCATTTACTTCCCGACCGGAAACGACCGGTGCACCGGAGGTGTCCTCTGAGGGATGTATCCCCCGCAGCATGAAAATTTGTAAAACAGTAAAGGAACATTATTGGCGCGACGTTCCGCAGCTCGTCGTGCCAAATGAAGGATCAACCGGACCGCTGCCGAAGTTGCTCGACGGCGCGGCATAACCGGTGCGGTATCAACGTGCGTTAGCGCAATAGCGTGCGTAACTCCTCGGAGTTGCGAAGTGCTCTCTCACTCTCTCTCCCGAGAAAGAGAGAGAGACGCTAGCTCGAAGTTTAAGCCTGTTCTAAACGCGAAACGCTCCGTCCAGAACACGGAGGTATCCGTTCTGAGGAATAAAAGGGAGAGGATGAGACAGACAGAAAGGATAGAAATCACGCGCGCAAAGCGACGGTGAAAGAGGGAGGTGGGGGTGGGGTTCATACGTGTGCTCCACGTGTTTTTCCGTAGAGAGAGCTTTGCGCCTCCAACAAAGCACAGACAGCGGTCTGCTCCTCGTCGACGACGAAGTCACTAGCCAGCAAGTTTCAGTGTTGAAAGTGTTCTCTCTCTCTCTCTACGAGAGAGAGAGATAGAGAGAGAGACGTGTCGCTTCTTATAGTGTCGCGTCGCACCAGCGAACGTCCACGTTCGCGGGACAAAGTCTCTGTGTGTGAGGGAGAGAGTGGAACGCATTGAGAGGGTGGGGGAAGGCTGAGAGTGAGTGAGTGAGTGAGAGAGTGTGAGTAAGAGAGAGAGAGAGAGAGAGAGAGAGATATGAGTAAAGGCTGGCAATGATAATTAAATGAATGATGCTTACCCGATTGAATCGTTTCGCCTGAAAAATATGGCCGTTCACCCGGTACAGCTTCCTCCACCTACGAGCGCCACGTCTGTAGATGCTTCCTTCGGAAAATGAAATAACATAAATGTCACAAATGATGGAAAGCACCAGCTGATCGATCGGCTCGTCGCGGCTCCTACGACCGTCGTGCCAAGCGACGATGAATAATAAGCGACGACTTTTAACGCATAATACACGCGGCTCGTCCCGCGGCAACGCATTTCATTCCACGCGATTCATTCATTCGGCTATTTTCTCCGCTATTTCGCTATTTGCTCGCTAACACACCGCTGACAAAATATGTCGGTGACGAATCGCCCGGCGAGATGATCGAGAGAAAGAGAGAGAGAGAGAGATGTTCGGCGGCGAAATGTCATTCGCGCTTCTTGTTCCGCACGCTTCTGCGCTTCAAACGGCGCAGATAAATAGGTTCCGTTCGGCTTTATAATTGCGGAAAACATCCGCGCAATTTCGCGAAGAGAGCTACCATCACCGCAACCACCATCCATCACCGGGGCAGAATTTTTGATATCAGCCCGAGAAAAACAAATAACAGTTTCGCCGTCGAACATCGCGCGAGCTATTCGGCAGATTGATTTCACACCCATCACGTTCTCTCTCTCTCTCTTTTCGCCTCGATCACGGCCTCGACGCATGAACGAGCGACACGCGGTTTTGCGCAGGTAACGCACAAGGTTATAATCCCGACGGCGCGTCGACAGAGCTCGCCGATGATGGTAACGAGACGAGAGGTACTCGCCGTGTGCAATATGTGCCGGCGGTGAAAACGCGCGGGCAATGGCGATATATATAATACGTTACTTTCATTACTTCCTCTCGAGTTGCTGCGCGAGAAGATTTTCATAAAGAGTACGACCGGCCTGATCAGCTCCATGCTGCTCACGGATCACCGAGTGTGTCACACCGGGCGACGACAGTGATCTGAGGACTCGGCACTCGCGCGCGCGCGAGAGAGAAGCCTTGTTTGACAACAAAGGACTCCGATAGATCGAAAGGGTCACGAGTGTCGACTCGTGACGGCGGAATGGCACAGCGGATTTCATTGATGCCGTCCCATTCCCTGGACATAGTAATATCAACAATTTCCAATCTGGTTGCTGATCGCGTAAATTTTTTCCAGGAAATGTGAACATTCCAAATATTTTCAAATTAAAAAATTTACATTTTCTTTTCACGAATTCACATGTTAGAGGAGATTTATAATTAACACCCAGGGAGTCATGAACTTTCTTCTCTAGCGTAAATTCGTAAAAATTGCAAATTTTCTAATTTGAAAACAATTGGAATTTTCACTTTTCACGTTTCCGCTTTAGGAAAAAATTACATTATCGCTGGAGTATTATTTGTGCATCATGTTGATAATTTGAGAGATCGGCAACGATCTTTCGAAGCAGCAGTCATGATGCACAAATATTTAAAAAATAACTCACCTAATTGGAGATTTTCAACGTTACCATGCCTAAAGAATGAGACAGCATTAATGGAGTCTGCTGTATAGCGGGAAGCAAAATAGTTTAGACGCGGCGAAATTCAGAGCATAGCCGATGGTCCAATGGGAGAATTGGTCAAAAAGAAGTTCTCTTGGACTATCGGCTACGCTCTGTGCTCAGCTGTGTCCAAACCATTTTGCTTTTTATTGTAGCAGTTGGTCTCAATTTCTCAGCTCGCTGCGATATTGAGAGAATCGCGAGTGTACACACAGAAAAGCACATACTTCATCCAAAAATAAATATTACTTATTTCAAATATTTTGTAAGTTTATACGTCCACAAGTATATCATAAGCTCATCATAAGCACCAAATTTATTCAAAATATATTCCTGAATCCTAGTAAGTTTAGTACTTCAATCGAGAATCTTAAATTAAAACGCTAAGGCCAAGACTTCAGTTTACTTGCTCCAATTAACCGAATTTAACTTTTCCTCAATAAAGTTTATAAGATTCTTGAAGAGAGAGTAAATTTTCCTCTCGAGTGAATATTAATGAGAGCCGTTCTAATCATTTGTGATGAATATATTTTAATACTATTATCAAGAAAATATTTTTCGTTTAAAATAACCGCTACTACTTTTAAAAGAAAACAAGTAAGTCGAGTAATTACTTTTCTTCGAAATACGTTTTTCTCTGTGTATACACACACGTACACCGTGAAGAATATCCGAATGCGCTCTAAACTACTGAGATCTGACGCAGGCGTTGATGTCGTGATGATTGTTGGATGATGGTTTCGATTGACATATCGAAGGGGACAGCTTGGGCAGGGTTGAGAGAGAGAGAGAGAGAGAGAGAAAGAGAGGTGGGGAGGGAGAGAGAGAGAGAGAGGAGAGGGGAGGGAGGGAGAGATAAATAGAGAGAGAGATAGAGAAAAAGAGAAAACCGGACGGACGTTTTTCCTGCGCTTCTGCTTCTCTCGTAAACGGAGCGAACGAAGGAGAAACGCGTCTTCTATTATCGCGCGCTAAATCGTTTCTTTCCACCGGCCGGTTAATTAGAACTCGCTGGCTAGTACGCAATTGGCTATATATCGAGCGCAAGCAGCCTGCACGCGACTCGGCTTGCGACGTTTCCAATGAACGGTAAACACACTCACTGTCTTCTCCCTGACAAGGCATCCCAGGTGCGGGCGGCACGTTTGGAAAAACTGTAACAGAAGAGAAAAATTCACGCTCACTTTTATGACGCACGAGAGGTCCCCCCCCCCCCCCCNTGCAAAGGCGAAATTTCGGTTGTAATATCAGTAGTATGGTCTCCTTATCAGGAGAATTATTGCACTTTGATTGAAAGAATTCAGCATTAGTTCTTTTGTCTTGTCAGATACCGAATTGTATAACCGTTATCACTCCATCTTCGGCGATAAATTATTTCTTTTGTAGACCAAAGAGTATTAACCAACGACATATATACAGAGATCAAACATTTTATTCATAGGATAAAGTCGAAAGTTGGTAGTTTGAAACAGAGCGTTGTTTTGATTCAGTTGCTTTCTCGCTCTAGCTTGGAAATCTGTCAAGACTTGTTTCTGTAAAATGTCGCGATATTCGTTTTAAAGCTGTCAAGTGCCATGCGTAAGGTGATGCGGAATTAAAAGGATAAAATCGTAAACTTGTTTTATCTAAATATAGCATGCATAAATAATTATTGCACAAATATAACGATATTTACTTAGCATAATACTTCGCACATACGTAATTGTGTCGTGCATTCCGCCGAGTAATTTTTGGATACCTTATCTAATAGTGTTCATCTAAATCTGCTCTAAATGATCTTTTCAATCGTTTCCTCGCATATTCATCGAAAATTGCCCATTGAAATGGTTGAAAAGCTTATATCAATACTGCAGGATATTGAGTCGTTCCAAGATAGAGTGAGGAAGCGGCTGAATCAAAGCAACTTCTCACTCTGTCTCGAACCGCCAACTTCCGGCTTTACCCGCTGCTATAGCAGAAGCATGAACGGAAGCTTGGTCCAGACACACATGTCGTTGGTGTTAACTTGCATAAGATAAATAAATAAATAGAAGATAAATCACGACGAGACGAAACTCGTTTCTCGTGAGCGGAGTCACGCTGGCCGATTCGGAAGAGACTTCCCGCGAGGTGCGCGTCCTAACTCCTCCCTCTATCCGGACGATTACCCAGAAGATGCTGCAGAGTCATACTTTTGAACAACATAACCGTCAATGATCTAAGAGCCGCGTCCTCGAGGCGACGGTGGTCGATCGACGTCACGCTCATTTCGACTTGTTCTGCCGCCAGTTGGTGGAGGAAGAAAAGGAGCACTGCGCCGAGCACTGCGACTTACACGGGAAGCAGTCCGCGTAGAGGAAGCCGATCGAGAACCGTTGTTCGTTGTCCAACATATCGCCGTTATTTCGTATCCTATCCCGCGCGGTATCTCGCAACGTTACCGCTCGCAGGCTGATAACGAGTAACACTGAATTCTAGCCGAGCCGCATCGGGCCGCGTTATCACGACTTATCGTTCGCGAATGAGGCACGCAAACAGCACGGCACACGTCGCAAATAGACGAGCGACGATAGGTGGTCTCGCTCACGCGCCCGGCGTTCGATTAAATTTCTCCGTGCGACGATAACACTCCGAGAAGTCGTCGCCGGTTGGTCCGGGAATCCGCGTCTATGCGCCGAAAAACAGCCGGTGTCATGATTCTCCCGCTGACGTTCGTAATCTCGTTACAACGTCGCGCGAAACGCTTAATCCCTCCATACGACGGTCACGAACGTGATATAAATTGTGATTAGCAAGAATACGACGCGCCCTTTATCAGAGCAATTCCCGGCCGCCGGCTCGCGCATAATAGGACGGGGATTAAATATAAGTAAGTATATCGCACGTCGCGCGCGTGTCGTTAACAGCTAGATAATGCTAGAGTCCCTGCAATAAGAGTCTGGACATCGTACGCTTGATTTCTTATTGGCTCCGCGCTTTCTGGGTTTAACTTCCGGTTCGGGTGTGTCAAAGGTTGCTTTCGAAGCAAGAGGCAGCATCACGACATAAGTCTGACTGTATCATCTGTTATCCTTTTCTTTAGCAAATAAGCATGTGATGGCAACAAATGTGATGATGGCTGCCTTCCAGCAAGAGACACAAATCGAGTTACATCATCCTTATTATCCTTACTTCGCATTTGATAAAGAAAAGGATAATAGATGATATAACTTGGCTCGTGTCTCTTGCTGGAAAACAACTGATATAACTAGACTTGCGTCGAATTGTGTCTCTTGCTGGAAGGCAGCCGAAGTTATCAGTTGAGCGACAAACACAAGCAAAGATTTGCCATCTACGAGGTCTATGAAGTGTGTTAAAAGGAAAGTGAGATTATGTGTTTCACGTTGTGATTAATTATTCATTTATCTTGGTTTACATCTATTTTAGCACTATTTCGAACATTTCTCGTATTATGGTTGCGAATTTCCGGTTTTGAACTTGATGACTACACGTGATGACTACAATGACGATGTGAAGATTCTTGTTATAGAGATTCTAGGACTATTCATAGAAGGGCTAAGTATTCATAGAAGGTCTGACTATGAATATATTGCGCTGCTAGGACTGCGTTCGCTTTGAGCGCTTATATGCTATAAACGTCATTCCATCTTCCTTTGGCATATAATGAACAATAAAGATAGAATGACGCTTATAGCGCGTCAGCGGCTAAAGAGCAATAATCATAGTCGGATTTTATATTTACAGCGTTACCATCTTCGCCGCAATCGTCGCAACCGAAAAAAAAGTAAAATAATGACTGCTTCTCGGCAGAAAAAGTGACCTCTTAAACATCAAAATAGTAACCAAAAGTGACATTTTTTTATCAAATTCTAAGAGTAACTCAGACCATTTAAGCAAAAAAGTAACACTGACTCTTACTTTCCCAGGTTTATCTTTGGATAACTGAAGATAACCTTAAACGGCAAGACCTCACTGTGAATATTGTGCTAGAACTGCGCTCGGTTTAGGTGCTCATGCGCTGTAAACGTCATTCTATCTTTATTGTTCGTTACATGCCGAAGGAAAATCGAATGACGCTTACAGCATATGAGCGCTTAACGCGGCTTAGATAATGCGCGACGCTTCGCCCGGAATCCGAGGAAAACGCAGAGACGGCCGGTACGGGCGCACCCCATGTCACGCTGGAATCAAGATTAAAGCTGCGAATTGTTCTGGATTATTCGCTTTAAACACTTTAAAGCGGCCATCCAGACGCGATTAAGTTGGACACAGCCCCGACACATCTTCACGGACGGAGCGACTCGAGGAGGAAGCTGCCGGAATACAGTTGAAGCGGTGACACTAAAACGACGAAGGCCACGAAGGTTACACCGGGGGCCGGCGAATATAAAGGATTTTTGTCCGTGGGCACGTGTTCTCGATAAAACCGCCGACTTCTCGCTGAACTCCGAAGTAGAGCCCTCGTGGTAAACTGATGAATAGTAGGTTGACGGACAATGGCTTCAAAGCCGCCGGGGTGCATTCGTTAGAGATCGCCCCCGACGCGGGAAAAAAGATACTCGGTGATTGAGAGAGGCGACTCGATAAGCGCTTTGATTCATTAGCGGCGGAGGGGAGAAAGACGTGTCGGTCGAAAGAAGAAGGTCGGAAGAAATCGACGAGATCATCCTGACCACGATTCACCCCACGTAGAAGACCTCGAGAACACCTGGTGAGAAACGGGACGCGTACATGCACACGTTCGCTCGCGAGAGTGTCGTTCAGCCGCCGTATGTATTACGTGGAGAGAGAGAGAGAGAGAGAGAAAGAGAGAGAGAGAGAGAGAGGGGGGGGGG